TGCACGATCAGTTTTTGAGCCCGCAGATCGGGAGTCACGGCGGGCCCCAGGAGGAAGTTTGCACGCAAATGTTGCAACCAGCAGGTGTTGGGGAGATTGCGTCGACGAGGTCGGCACCAATCGTTGCAATGTTTCTTTGGGGGATTGTTTGTCCTTTGGGGGAGTAGGCTGGTCTTGGAGGCCAGCTAAGGATTTGGGGGCTTCCATGGGGCACGACGTGCGTCCAAGGAGCCGTCTCGGGGGCCAGCTGAGCACCTAAGATTCACAAAGTCTGTGAGGGGTGTGCCGAAGTGAAGTTCCCATCGAAATGGAGGGGCAGTTCATTCGTATTGTTATACGTCTCCCAGGAGCCTCGTGGGCCCAAGTAACTTGTTGTTTCACGTGTCCTAGGAGCCTGAGAGCGCAGATCACTTGTATTTTCACGTGTCCCAGTACAGTGTGGGCAGAAGATGCGTGAGAGGTGTCTAGAAGTGGGCCCTTCGTGGACCTCGGATCGCAGATCATTATTACGTTCACGTGTACCAGTAGAGTGCAGACCTAGACATGCATTAGGGGTGTGCCGAAATGATATTGCCGTAGCCATGAAGGCATTGCTCACTCGTATTCTACGCGTCCCAGAGAAATGTCAGAGAGGAAATGCATGAGGAGTGCGCCGAAACGGAGCTTTCGCAGCCCTGTCGCAGCCCTGAGGGCGGATTTCACTTACATTTTCACGTGCCCCAGGAGCTGTCAGGCGGGTGGGCCTAGCGTTGGGAGCACGTTTCACTCCTATGTTTACGCGCCCCAGCCTCATCGAAACATCATCGGTCAGCGGAATGGGCGAAGCTCCTCTCAGCATGCTTTGCGTATGCTTCTCACTCTCTTCTAGCTCATCATCATCTCATCGTCTATCCTCGAGGGCTAACACGGCGAAAGCTCACAGGGGGCCCGCCGAATTTGACTGTTTCGCTCACTCCGCCAGCCCATCTCGAATGGCCTTCGGCCCATCCCGCCACCTTGCCTGGGTGGGGGGCTGTTTTGAAGCCTCTTGGGGCCTCCTTCGGCCCTCGCGGGGGCCTCTTGGGGCCCCGTGGAGGCCTCTTGGCTCTTGGGGCCTTTTGGGGGCTGCTGGGCACCTCTTGGGGCGGTTCGTGTTCCCCATATTGGGGCCGTCTTGGGGCCCTCTTGGGCCGTCTTGGGCTCCTCTTGGGCGTCTTGGGGCCCTCTTAGGAGCCTCTGAGGCCGTCTTGAGGCGGTCTTGAGGACCTCTTGGGACGTCTTGGAGCGTCGGAAGCTCGAAAAGTGGAAAACTCCCAAAAAACCTGAAAACCCGCAAGGAAATCAGGATGTTGACCTCTCGGAGCCCTCTTGGGAAGGCTCTTGTGGGCCTTTCTTGCCGGGAGTTTGCCGGGGTATTTTTCGTCCAGGGACCCCCAGGGGCGGCCCCGCGCGCGCGAATTAGAAGTATTCTAAACGAAGGGGAATCCAAATCGTGAGTAGTTTTTCGCTTAACCGTGAGTGGCTTTTCGCGCAACTGTGAGTAATTGAGTGCACGCTGTGAGTGCACGCTGTGAGTGCACGCTGTGAGTGCACGCTGTGTTGAGTGTACGCTGTGAGCCCACGCTGTGAGTGCACGCTGTGTTGAGTGTACGCTGTGAGCCCACGCTGTGAGCCCACGCTGCAAGGCCACGCTGTGAGCCCACGCTGTGAGCCCACGCTGTGAGCCCACGCTGCGAACCCACGCTGTGAGCCTACGCTGTGAGCCCACGCTGTGAGTGCACGCTGTGAGCCCACGCTGTGAGCCCACGCTGTGAGTGCACGCTGTGAGTGCACGCTGTGAGCCCACGCTGTGAGCCCACGCTCTGAGCCTACGCTGTGAGCCCACGCTGTGAGTGCACGCTGCGAGCCCACGCTGTGGGCCCACGCTGTGAGCCCACGCTGTGAGCCTACGCTGTGAGCCCACGCTGTGAGCACACGCTGTGAGCACACGCTGTGAGTCCACGCAACACACCACACGCAACACACCGCACACGCAACACAACACACGCGCAACACACCACACGCAACACACCACACGCAACTCTCCGACACCGCACGCAACACACCACACGCAACGCACCAAACGCAACACACCACACGCAACACACCACACGCAACACACCACACGCAACACACACACACACACACACACACACACACACACACATACGACACGCACCATACCGGGCGCAACACACCACACGCACACACCACACGCAACACACCACACGCAACACACCGCACGCAACACACCGCACGCAACGCACCACACGCAACACACCACACACCACACACATACACACTTCACGCAACACACCACACGCAACACACCACATGCCACACACCATACGCAACACACACACACACACACGCACACACGACACGCAACATGCCGCACGCAACACTCCACACGCAACACACCACACGCAACACACCACACGCAACGCACCACCCGCAATACACCACACGCAACACACGACACACAACACACCACACGCCACACACCACACACCACACACCACACACCACACACCACACCGCACACCGCACACCACCCGCCACCACCCACCACAGACCACCCACCACGCACCACACAGCACCCACCACGCATCACACACCACACATCACACACCATACACCACACACCGCCCACCGCACACTACACACCGCACGCCGCACACCGCACAACACCCACTATGCACACACGCACACACACAATCACACACAATCACACACACACACACACACACCACCCCACCACCACAACCACCACCACCGCCAACGATACCGCCACCACCAACGCCACCACCACCACCACAATCACCGCCACCACCACTCCCACCACAACCACCACACACAAACGCACGCACAGACACACACACACACACACACACACACACACACACACGCGCGCGCACACACACGCACACAAACACCCCAGAGGAAATCACTCGGACCGCGCGGAGAAATCCAGCACGTAAGCAATTCGAGATTCCGTCGAGCCCACAGCGTGCACTCACAGCGTGCGCTCACGGTCTTTCTCACCGGGTGGCGCGCAGCGTGCGCTCACAGCGTGCACTCACAGCGTGCATTCGCAGCGTGCACTCACAGCGTGATTGGCCCACGCTGCTGTGCGTGCCCGCCGTGGTGAGCCCACGATGTGAGCCCACGATGTGAGCCCACGCTCTGAGTCCACGCTGTGAGCCCACGCTGTGAGCCCACGCTGTGAGCCCACGCTGTGAGCCCACGCTGCGAGCCCATGCTGTGAGCCCACGCTGTGAGCCCACGCTGTGAGTGCACGCTGTGAGCCCACGCTGTGAGCCCACGCCGTGAGTGCACGCTGTGAGCGCACGCTGCGAGCGCAGGCTGTGCGAGCGCGCTCATCAGCTCAGCGAGCCCTCGACGCTGCGTGCACTCGCAGCGTGCACTCACAGCGTGCGCTCACCGCAGCGTGCACTCACAGCGTGCACTCACCACAGCGTGCACTCACAGCGCTCGCTCACAGCGTGTACTCACCACTGCGTGAGCTCACAGCGTGCACTCACAGCGCGCGCTCACAACAGCGTGCACTCACAGCGTGCACTCACCGCGTGCACCCAATCACTCACGGTCAATCGCAAAGCTCCTCACGGTGAGGATCTACTCTCCTTTTAACTTGTTACCGGAGATCTTAGCACGCATCTGGCCCGTTAGGCTGGCGAATTGTTTGGAATATTCTTTTTTAGTAGCCGCAAACAGGCATACGAGAAATTTCAATTAAGCGGCAGAGGAGGACGAAAGAGCATGCATTGCGGCGGTTCGCCGTACCTTGTGGGGCCGCCACGTTGTGCAGCGACGCTCCCGAAACGTGCGACGCCGAGCCTCGAAGTGGCCTGCACACGCTTCACAGCGCCGTAGCCTTCAGCGGGCCGCCGCGTAGGCAGCCCCAACATCCAAGCGGCGGCAAGACTCGTAGGCTCCTGCCGTGAAAGGTGGAATCGCGAGTCAACCACCATTGCCAAAGGAACTCTGCAGCATGTCGACATGACAAGCAGAGAAGAAACGAGACATAGAGAAAGAGAGAGGCAGAGAGAACGAGAAACAGAGAGAGAGAGAGAGAGATGCGCGCGAGCGCGTGTTCTGGGCTTTCAGGTGCCCCTCTTTGAGTAGTCCCAGGGCCCCCAAGGGGGCCCCAGATACGCTCGAGAGGTGCCATAGGCGGCCTCAAGACGGCCCAGACTGTCCCGGGAGGGCCCCAGGGAATCCCGCCACAGGGCTTCGGCCCGAAGGATGCCCTCGCGGATTTCTTCGGGGAGCCTCCCGATAAGTCTGGCACCTTTCCGCTCTCGCAGCGATGTTTTCTGTTGTTCTGCCTCTCTCGCCGGGTAGATCCTCCTCCGCCTCCTCCTCCGCCTCCTCCTCCTCCTCCTCCTCCTCCTCCTCCTCCTGAGCGCTCTTCCGCGCTCCCCAGAGAGAGGCCCGAGACTGCCACGGGGCAGTCCCGAGGGGCCTCCCGAGGGCCCCCTTTGGAAGACCCCGAGACGGACCCAAAGCGCGCCCCTGGACAGATAATAGCCACTGGCGATGGCGGGTCCCTCCAGCCGGGGAGACGCTCGACTCGAGCAAGCCGGAGCCGGAGCTCGGGTTTGCCGACGCGTGTGGACGAGCGCGTCCTGTGGGTTTTGACGGCCCAGTGCTCGTGGGGTGTTTGCAGCGGGAGCTCGCGTCAAACTTCAGGTCGGGCCCCGTCATGTTTACGATGGCCCCGTCAGGCCAACCCGAGTCCCCCGGCACCCGCGTCTTGCGTCTCCCCGATGCGGCGGCACGCGCACGGGAGAGGCAGGCACGGGCTCCCTGGTCCGTTGCCGCCGCGGGGCTGGCGGGGGATCTCGTCCCTGGACGCGCGGGGCGAAGGTGCGGTCGAGTCGGGTGTGTCCCTCTACGGGAGGGATATTCGGAAAGGGTGTCAGACATAGTCTGGGGACGATTCTGTGAAACTATGTCTGGCTGTGTTCGGAGTACTTACTGTTCGACCGTTTTGTCATGAGTCGTCCAGCCTGTAGGGGGACATGCCCGACCTGAAGGCGCGGCCTCCCCCCGATCGGCGTGGATGTGGCTCCCCGAGGCTCCCGCGGCGAGCTCGGCCAGGCCCCGGGGCCGGCGCGAGGCGCAAGCTGCCAGCGTGCACTGTCGTGCGCGCCAAGTGCACGTGGCCTTGGCTCTCGGCGGCTGCGCTTGTCTGCAGCGGGTATGTTCTTCGCGGCCGCGCGCTTTGTTCTTTCGCCAGGCCCCCCCCCTTTCCGTCAGCTCCCCCGCAGAGCGAAGCTGCATGAGCTTCTCGTGAGTCCGCTTCGTTCTCCCCCTGCTCGCGCCTGGTTTGCGCCGTCGGCCCTCGGTGCGGTTCGCTCTGGCACGCCCTCTTTGGCGGAGGGCTGCCCTGATCGTCGCGCCCCGTGGCCGCGCGGCAATATTGCGCAGTGAGGCGCACGAGGCGCTGGTCGGGCGACGGCGTTGCTTGCCTGTTGTTGGGCGCCCTGCGTGAAGCAAAGCAGTGTGCACGACTGGCTCCCCGCCAAGTATTACCCTGGAGACCTCCGCACCAACTCCCCACTCGTGTTTCTCCGACAGCTCACCCCCATGTGCTTCTTCATCTCGTCTGAAGCTTGCACACAAGTCCAACCAGAGAGCCACAGATGGTGTTCGAAATTAGTGATTGCAGATTTCGATGTGGCCGCGTCGCAGTCAGGTGTGATAAGTTGGAGCAGCTTGGTGAAACAGGCTTGGCGAATATCAGTTAGCGTCAGTTTGCAATATCATTGATCTGCACTCACTCTTGCGATGCATTCGCTCAGGTGGTAAAGATATGTATTATGAATGGGCGGTCACAAGATTTCAAGGACCGTGCCGCTGTTCGTGAGTAAAGCGGCACGATCAGAAAGAGCGAGCGGAATCAGAATCTGGAAGGAGGAGCGTGGGGGGTGACCTGGGAGGGAGACACGAGGGCTCAGAGAAGAGGCGCATGTCGAAATGATCTAGCAGGCCGCTCGGTGATGGTCAGAAAGGCGAGGAGCGGGGAGCAGAAAGGAACGCACGCGAGGGCCATGATGCGGAAAGCTGTAGGCCGGGTCACGGTGTGCGGGGGACAGTCCGTGACGACGTACTAGCAGAAGTGTCGGGGGGGGTCGTTTGTCAGAGCCAGTAGTGATTCGGTGGGTTGTTGTCAATGGGGATGGCGGGCATGATGATGATCAGCATCATCATCATCATCATCATCATCATCATCAGCAGCAGCAGCATCAGCATCAGCATCAGCATCAGCATCAGCATCATCATCATCATCATCATCATCATCATCATCATCATCATCATCATCATCATCATCATCATCATCAGCTTGCTGCCATCCTCGTGCCACCGATCCCCATCCCCGCTGGACCACGGCACCGCAGCCCCACCAGCCCTCGCCCCCCGGCGGGGACAGACCCCGCGGAAAAAAGCAGATACAGAGCAGCACATGTGAGCTTGAGCCCAGGGCCCCCTCCCCCCCCCCCCACCCCACCCAGATGAGATGGGCCCTGGGGCCCCACGAGCCCCGTCACCCTGCCTGATGGGCCGGGGGGGGAAGACGACGACCGACCACCGACGACCGACAAGCCCAGGCGGCAGAGAGAGCCCAGGTCAAACGATACTCCAGATTTCGTAATAAAAGGGAGGGGGTCTGGACCCTCCAAGACAAGCCATTTCAGACGTCCCCCGTGGGAGAACCCTCCAAAACATCGTCCCCAGACCCCCCAGGCCCTCCAAGATAGCCTGGAAGAGACCCCCCCCGAAATGAGACCCCCCTCCCTTTATTACGAAATCTGGAGTATTCGTGTTTCGTTCGTCGGCCCGACGACGACGACGACGGACGACGGCGACGGACGACGATGACGGACGACGGCGACGACGACGACGGCGAAGACGACGGCTCGGCACGTGTGGGCCCGCGCTTCGGCGAACGTGTCGTACCAAACGCGTGTGTCAGATCTCCGCGTGAAGCTCCGGGACAGCACGCCACGGGCTGCGTGTTGCGTGACGGAGAGGTTCGGATTGTGACAGAAAGGATGAGAAGGAGTACACTGCGCCCTGACGGCGCGGCAGACAGCAGGACACGCAGAGCATAGGCGTGCCAGCGTGAAGGAAAGCCCATGGCTGCACAGTGCCGCGGGGAGCCAGTGCTGCAGCTTGTAGCCTCTGGCTCCAGCGCGGTGCGAGGGGTACGCTGCGCTGAAGAGAAGGGCAAGGGAAGCGGCCGAGGAGGGAGGAGGGGAGGGAGGGGGACGGGGAAGGGCGTGGCAATCCGTGAGCACCCGGCGGGGGATCACCATGAGAGCAGGCCGCCATATGATCATGTCGAGGGGCTCTGCGCCGAGGCGTGTGCGTTTATCAAGTACCTCTTCAGCTGCGAGGCGGACCTCGGATCGCCTCCGCCGCGCCGCTGTCTGGAGTCGCCGTGGGATCTTGTATGGTGGTTGCCGCCGACAGCATGCACGGACTCGAGCCTGAGCGATTGAGAACGAAGCCCGCAAGAAGGGAGGAACTGAGTTGAACGGCCCGCACGTTGCGAGCAGATGTGACATTGCCACTTGAGAACACGTGGACCATGGGATGTGATCGGATTGAGAGCGATTTCGAAGTCGGGCCTGTCCCTCTACAGGGGGAATATGCAAATTAGTCAGACAATAGTCTGGGGACTATTTGTTTAGTATGTTTGACCATTGTGGAATATGGTTTGACTACTTTTATTGTTCGTCGAAAATCCCCCTGTAGGGGGACACGCCCGACTTAAAGCGATGTGTGAGTAAGGTACGGATGTCTTGTGCAGGGGCCATGGGGATCAAAGTTTGAACATCATGTTCGGTACAAGTATGTTAGAGCAGAGGCATCGCATCGAGAAGTTGGGGTGGGCAAATTAGTGGATATCCACGAAATGCTTCCAAGTCGGTAGCGATGAAGCCGCCCGTGCCAATGCGGACATGCAACAGCCACGCCGTATGCAAGCCATGTGTCCTAATCAGACGGGCTAGCGCACTATCGACAACCCATGGGTTAATGATGGGTCAGGCATGGGCTAGACAGTCAGCACTTAATACAACAACAATCACTGTGAGGAGCGACACCTGTTTCAATCGCATATGGGTTGAAAGGATAAGCAGCAGCAGGAGGAGGAGGAACACCTCTCAAGGCCCTAGAAGATCTCAGAGGTCCCTGTTACGTAGCCTGTGGCCTGTGGGGAACTTGGGAGGCTCCCACAGAATTCACGGGCACATCAGACGCCGTGGAATCAGTTCCCATCCACCCCCCCGGCTCTTACCTAGTCCCTGTCCTTCTCCGTCTCCTCTGCCCCGCTCTCTCGCGCTCTCCTGTAGGCCCACAGCAGCGCCAGTCAGTGTCCGGCTCCATCCCCAATCTCCTTTCGCCCTTCGCCAGTCCCACTCTTCTTTGTCCATCCGCCTTCCATTCCCCATCCGCCACCCTTCCCTACTCTGGATGGGGCCATAATCGACCCCCCCCCTTGGATCCGCCGGGGGGTTGGGCACGTGCTGTCGGAACGGGTGAAGGGGGAGTTGGAGGAGGAGGAGGAGGAGGAGGAGGAGAAGGAGAAGGAGGAGGAGGAGGAGGAGGAGAAGGAGGAGGAGGTGGAGGTGGGGGAGGGGATGGGCAAGCTCCGTCGGAAGGTTAGTCGCCCACCCCCCGATTCACATTCCACCCAGAGTATCCATCCGCCTTCCATTCCCCATCCGCCACCCCTCCCCAATCGAAATGGGAGGGCAGGGGACGTGAGGAGCAGGAGGAGGCGGAGGAGGCAGCAGCGCGGAGGGCATAAGGAACTTGCGGAGCAGGATGCGAAGGAGAAGGGGGAGGGGGAGGAGGAGGAGGAGGAGGAGGAGGAGGAGGAAGGGAAGGGAAGGGGGAAGGGTCGGGATGAAAGGGCACGTCGCAGCGTGGTTCTCTCGGCCGTTCTCTCCAGGCCGCCGGACCGTGCCCTACCCGCGCGCGCGCTCTCATTCAGGCGGCGTTGGCCATCAATATGCTTCACGGGAAGTGCCCACCTGGGAGATGGGCGGGAGGTCTCTGCGACGATGTGCGAACCTTCTCCGTGAGGGTCCTATCGACGCTGGGGTATTGGACACCCCCGCGCTGGAGCTCACTCGGTTGCAGACACGATTCGAACTCTGAATCCCAGCAGGCGTTTCAGGAATCTGACCTGCAGGGGTAGGGCTCACGGTTCACATGTGGTTGCCTAAGGTCGAGGTTTTTGGTTTCGAAAGTGCATTTTCCTTCAAGGGCCTCCTGGTTGAGATTGCGAGCGGCCCCCCGACAGCCTCTCCCAGAAGGGTACGAGGAACCACACCTGGAGTGAGGATGTCTTAACAGGCGCCCGCGTGATCGCGAATGCAGGCGCAAGTTTGTGGGTTCGCCAAGCTCGAAGAGGATCGAAGAGGCAGGAGCGACGGGGCCTCCGCTCACGCGAACCCATCGCAAGTCGCACGCACGCTGGCTGCTCCGTTCGGAACAGGGGCACGCCGTCGCGCTGACCTCCTCCGTCCGGCGGGGAGGGCGCGGCGGGGCCTGGACGGGGGCGGGCCCGTGCGGCCTCGTAGGGGCCCCCGGGGGGGGAGGGGGGGCGGTGAGGCCCAGCCAGGGGGGGGGGGACCAGTGGCCCAGGAGAGGAGGAGGAGGAGGAGGAGGAGGAGGAGGAGGAGGAGGAGGAGGGTCGAGTGTGTACCCCGCCGAGAGAAATGGGAAGGGGGGGAGGATCGAAACTAAAGGCCCTTCGAGGTGACCCTCTCCCGGGCGAGGCCGAGGAGGTCTGCCCGACAGCCCAGGGCCCGGGATGGCCCTGGCCGAGGCTCGAGCGACCCACGCGGTGTCTGAAAGCGATCGCCGGGGCCGCCACGAGCCTGCCGTGTGCAGCGTGCCTGCTAGAAGGCAGGAGCTCTTGGACTCCTCCTCCTCATCCTCCTCCCTCTCCCCTCCTCCTCCTCCTCCTCCTCCTCCTCCTCCTCCTCCTCCTCCTCCTCCTCCTCCTTCCTCCTCCTCCTCCTCCTCCTCCTCCTCCTCAGGCGGCAAAGCACCGGTTCTGGCCAGCAGAGCGGGGGGGGGGGAAGAGAGAGGCCCCCCGCGGCTCGAGAGATTCCGAGAGGGGCCCGGTGGCCGAGTTCGGGCGGGGCTGCCTTCATCTCCCCCCCCCCCTCGTGACCGACTCGCGACTTTCTTGGAGCCCAGCTAGCGCAGACCTTCGACCACGCGCAGAGGGCGGTAAGGGGAGGGGGGGAGGCGTCTTAGAAGCACGCCTGTTTTTTTTAAAGGCGCGGGCTTTACCATCTTTAGATGTAAGGCCAGCGCCTTCTAAGAAGCAGCCTCCTTCTAAGAAGCCTTCCCCCTCCCCCCTACCCCCTCGCGCGCGCCGCCATCATCCAGCGCAGACCCCCTGGCCGCTTCCAAGGTGTGATGGTCTCTCTTCCGAGGTCCCCAGAGCCCCAGGGCCTCGCCGGGTGCTTTCCAATTGCGTGCCATGGCCGCGTCGGACAGCCCCAATCACGGCCCGAGCCACTGCCACAGACGCCAGGGCCTGGTGCACAAAAGAGGGCGAAGAAGCTCTGCCTGCTTCTTCTCTCCTCTTCGGTGCGCGTTCGTCGTCGTCTGCCTGCTTCTCCCCTCCTCTTCGCCCTTTGCCGGGCAGCACAGCCTGCCCAGGACCAGCCTCGCGGCGCGTAGAGAAGCGGGACGTTCTCGAGACACGATCGCTCGGGCACTTGGGGCAGAAATCAGAAACTCGGCCTCTGGACGGGTGAGGAGGGTCTGGGCCTACCAGATGGGGTCAGAGCAGGTTGGGGTCGGAGGATCGCGCCGAATCGCCAATACATCGGCGTCGCGGTTCGATGTGGGAATGATTTTCTCCAAGCCGATGTCGCCGATGCATCGCCGATACGGCGGCGCGACCTGGGAGGCTTCTTGAGGAGCAGGAGGGGAAAAGAGTCCCCGTTTCTTGCTCTGAACGAGGCACAAGGTTGGAGGAGAAACGTCGCCGTCGAGGTGGAGGCTTTCACCGCGTTCTACAGGGGGAGGATGAGGAGAAAGAGGGAAGAGGCGGAGAAGGAGGAGGAGGAGGAGGAGAGGCAGACGAAGAAAGAAAAGGGAGAGAAGGGAGGATCCCTTTCATCGTCCCCCTTCTGCCCTTCCCCTCCAAGCTCCCCATGCGTTCCCTCAGGTCCCCCCTCTCCTCCACATGGCACGCGCCCGCCGACAGGAGGAGGAGGAGGAGGAGTACGACGACGACGACGACGACGACGACGACGACGACGACGACGACCCTGGAGGTACGAGATGGACCCTGGACAGGGGCCCATCGTGGTGAAGGCCCCGCGAAGCCATCGCCCCCTCGGCAAGCCCTGGGCGCTCTCTCCGCGCCGCTTTTGCCCGCGCCCGTGCCTGTGATCGTCTCCGTGCTGTGCTTTTGCGCATGCCCTCCTCCTCCTCCTCCTCCTCCTCCTCCTCCTCCTCCTCCTCCTCCTCCTCCTCCTCCTCCTCCCTCCTCCTCCTCCTCCCCTCCTCCTCTCCTCCTCCTCCTCCTCCTCCTCCTCCTCCTCCTCCTCCTCCTCCTCCTCCTCCTCCTCCTCCTCCTCCTCCTCCTCCTCCTCCTCCTCCTCCCTCCTCCTCCTCCTCCTCCTCCTCTCCTCCTCCTCCTCCTCCTCCTTCCTCCTCCTCCTCCTCCTCCCTCCTCCTCCCTCCTCCCCTCCTCCCTCCCCCCTCCCTCCTCCCTCCTCCCTCCTCCCTCCTCCCTCCTCCCTCCTCCCTCCTCCCTCCCTCCGAAGAGCCCCTCCCTGGGTGTCCCCGCGGGTGTTCTTTCTGCCAGCGCGAGCGACGCCAACAAAAGGGGCCGTCTGCGCCGACACCGGCGCGGAAGCGCTGCGCGTCGGGTCGCACGTCAGCGCCCTCGCTTCAGGTGTGGTGGGCCGCGCGGGCGGCCCGCGTGAGCCACCGCGTGAGGTCGCGATGTCATCTCGCGTAAGGCCGGTGTTTGATCGTCGCGAATGTGTCTCCGTGTGTGGGCGTGCCTATGTGTGTGTGTGGGTATCGCTGGACCACGGCGCCTCGAGAGGAAGGTAGGTGTTGCGAACGCGCCCCGCAGAGTAGCACTGCCCGGCGCGACTGGTGTGTGTGTGTGTGTCTCTGCGTCTTTGTGTCTCTGTGTCTCTGTGTCTCTGTGTCTCTGTGTCTCTGTGTGGGTGTGGGTGTGGGTGTGGGTGTGTGTAGGTGTGTAGGTGTGTAGGTGTGTGTAGGTGTGTGTAGGTGTGTGTAGGTGTGTGTGTGTGTGTGCGTGTGTGTATGTTTGTATGTAGGTGTAGGTGTGTGTAGGTGTGTAGGTGCGTGTGTGTGTGTTTGTTTGTGTGTAGGTGTGTAGGTGTGTGTAGGTGTGTGTAGGTGTGTAGGTGTGTGCGTAGGTGTGTGTAGGTGTGTGTAGGTGTGTGTGTGTGTGTTTGTTTGTGTGTAGGTGTGTTTGTTTGTGTGTAGGTGTGTGTAGGTGTGTGTAGGTGTTTGTAGGTGTGTGTGTGTGTGTGGGTGGGTGTGTAGATGTGGGTAGGTGTGTGTAGATGTGTGTAGGTGTGTGTGTGTGTGCGTGCGTGCGTGCTGTGTGGTGTGTGTGTGTGTGTGTTGTGTTGTGTGGTGTAGGTTGTGTGTGTGTTGTGTGTGGTGTGTGTGTGTGTTATGTGTGTTGTGTGTGTGTGTGTTGTGTGTTGTGCTTTGTGGTTTGAAGGCCCCTTGGAAAGCTTTTTGGGGTGCCTTGGAGGTTTTTGTTGGGCCGTCCTGAAGCAATTGGAGTCCCTCTTGCAGCGCTCTTGTGCTGTCTGGGGCCTCCCTTGAGCCTTTCTGATGACCCCTCTGATCGCTCTGGGTCTGCTGGCAAGGCGTTTGTGGAGACCTGGAAAGCCGAGTGACCTTTTCCAAGGACGTCCAAGGGAGCTCGAGAACCCCAGATCCCGGGGATCCAGTTACCTAACAGCGAAGACTGATAGGTTTCTAGTGGGGTCAAAAGAGAGCATCATGACTCCTTAGGGAGGTCGGGGCGGGACCCGGCGCGGCTGCCGTCGAAGCCCAAATCGCCTGGGACATCCTCGCAAAATCGCTCTTGGCGCTGCTAGAACTCCATTCCCGGCGTACATTTTGGATGCCCGGAGCCAACTGTAGGCCACTTCGTGCTCTTCGACTTCCCAGAACTCCATTCCCGGGCACATTTTGAATGCCCGGAGCCAACTGTAGGCCACTTCGTGCTCTTCGAGTTCCCAGAACTCCATTCCCGGGCCACATTTTGGATGCCCGGAGCCAACTGTAGGCCACTTCGTGCTCTTCGAGTTCCCAGAACTCCATTCCCGGGCCACATTTTGATGCCCGGAGCCAACTGTAGGCCACTTCGTGCTCTTCAAGTTCCCAGAACTCCATTCCTGGGCATGATTTTGAATGCCCGGAGCCAACTGTAGGCCACCTCGTGTTCGTCTAGTTCCCAGAACTCCATTCCTGGGCCACATTTTGAATGCTGAGGCAGGCTGATGCTGCGGCCGAGGCAGGCTGAGGCTGAGGCAGGCTGAGGCTGAGGCCGAGGCTGAAGGCAGACTGAGGCTGAGGCTGAAGCAGACTGAGGCTGAGGCTGAGGCAGGCTGAGGCTGAGGCTGAGGCAGGCTGAGGCTGAGGCAGGCTGAGGCTGAGGCTGAGGCTGATGCAGGCTGAGGCTGAGGCAGGCTGAGGCTGAGGCCGAGGCTGAAGGCAGACTGAGGCTGAGGCTGAAGCAGGCTGAGGCTGAGGCTGAGGCAGGCTGAGGCTGAGGCTGAGGCTGAGGCTGAGGCAGGCTGAGGCTGAGGCTGTGACTGCGACTGCCGTTGCCACTGCGACTGTCATCGCGAATGCGACTACGACTGCGAGAACAGCAGAATTCTACAACTGGATTCTCATCTGAATCTTAAGGGGAATGCTTCCAGATATGCTCCTACACATCGCTGTTAGGTTGCTTTGCCGGGATATTTTTTTCGGGGGGGGGAAGCTTTTCCCCCCCCCGGGCTTGTAAAAATATAGGAAGAGGAATGTTGGGAGCACCGTGGGCCGTGGCGGACGGCCTGCAAACCGAAAAGGCGAGGGCGCCCAAAGCACACAAAACTCTGAGGCCGTGGGCGATACGGGCCTTTCGGGCCAGGCTCTGGAGGCCCTGGGGCGGCCCACAAGACCCCCGATAGAGAGAGGCTCAGGACGGCCCTCGCCGAGGCTCGTCCTGAGGCTCCTGCGCGGGTGGTCGAGGGTGGTCCCCAAGTTGGGAACCACCTTCGAGAACATGGTTCGAAGAAGGAAAAACGGTAAAACATATGAACTGTCGGCGTTCCGCACGGATTTCTTGGATCTGCGATGGGCCCCCCCGGCGGCGCCTCCGGCACCGCCCCTACTCCGTGCGCCAGGGAGGGGGGCCCAGGCCAGATCCAAGAAGTCCGCGCGGAGCGCCGAAAGTTTATGATGTTTCTTTCCTCCCTCTAACGTTGGAGGCCTGGCGAGAGGGTACCCTTCTTATTTCACACCCACATGCGGAGCCCGGCGGCAGAGTCGAGGGAGAAAACGAAGAGGGGGCGAGAGGGACACACGGGCCACGGGCGTTCGGCCAGGCGCGCCTGCAGGGCCGCGCGCCACTCGGCGCCGGGCCCCCCCCCCGCTCGCACCCCTTGGGAGCCGCAGGGCCGCTCCTCGAGGCGCTCCCGCCGCGGCGCCCAGCAGCCGCAGCGCAGGCGCGCCACCCAGCCGGGGCCCTGGGAGGCCACGTGGGCGCGCCAGCCGCCTTCCAGCGAGCAGTGCCCGCGCCGCCGCTGCCGCGCCCAGCCGCCGCGCGCCGCTGGCCAAGGCGGCGCGGCGCGTGGCCGCCAGCCGCGGGGGGCGGGAGGAGGCCAAGGCTGATGCCACGATCGCGTCGCTGCACGCCGCCAGGACAGGTATCGGCTTATCGACAACAGTGCACTGCTCGCTGTGCAGCGCCCTGGAAAAGAAGTCCTACTCCTCGCCTCTACCTACGGACCCCGTATAGGAACGGCCCTTCGGCAGTCTCCCTATACACACATCTGCCTCCCGGGCTCCCGAGCCGATCCTCCTCGGACGTCCCGCGCCGCGCCGCCGCCCCTCCGTCGAGGTGCGCCTCGACCCACCGCGCGCTGGCGAAGCCAGACTGGCAGTCGGGCGCAAGCAGTGCCCAGAGGTCCGCGTGCTGCCACCCCGCGGCGAGGCGCCAGCGCGGAGGGCAACCACGCGACAGTCAACCCGCACGGTAACGATGGGCAGGTTCCCCCAGGGTGCCCTCGCATCCTTGCGTCCTCGGCCCATCCCTGGCCACTCTCGTCGGCCGCGCCCCGCTCGAAAAGCTTCGCAACGGGCGCCCAAGGCCATGTGATCGTTTTTATTCATTTTTTGCCGATCGGCGCGGGCCCTCGCACCCCCGCGGGGGGGGCCCGCGTGGCCCTCGAAGGGCGAGGCGGCCGCGCCCCAGCCGAGAGCCCCATCCAGCGAGGGTTCAGCCGCGGGCCCCTTGAGTTAGGTCTGGCAGGTCCTCCGACAGGCAGTTTTTAGAAGAAGAATGGGAAATAGCTGCTTACATACAGAATATATATATATGTATATATATATATATATATAGAGAGACATACATAACTATATATATAGACACACCTAAACATACATAACAAAAACGACGAATCGTCCCCAGATTACGTGTTGGAACATTATCGAAGATTCTTCCTGTAGAGGGACATGCCCGACTCAACCCTTGGGTGTTCGCACTCCCCGTCCGTTCGGGCCCGGCAGCGCTGCGAGGAGTCCGGGGGCTATGATGTTCCAACCTATTTTAGCCTTGATCACCAGAAAGACTTTCGAGCACCAATATAGTACCGAAGCTGGATGGTTTTGGCGTGTCGGGCTCTGGGGGGTGATACTCGTTCGATATTGTGTCGCTAGTTTTCTGGGTGCTCGAAGTTAATGGTGGGGATTGGGTCCTTAAGTACGATGGGAGTAACATAGTCCGGGCGTATCAGCGGGGGCGCCGGCAGCGCGGGGCGCTGGCTTTGCGGTGCGCTGGCGACGGCGGCCGCCGCCACCAGCATGGGGTCCTGCCCCTCCCCCCCGATTTTCCTATATTTCTAAAACCCCAAACCGGGCGAGGCTCCAGCTTTCAATTTTCATAAAGGGGAATTACTCCGGCCGCCTATGCCGACAAGAGGGGGTGGTTCCAGCCCTCAGTTCTTGCGAGAGAGAGAGAGAGAGAGAGAGAGAGAGAGAAAACAACAACAAAAAAAAAAAAAAAAAAAAAATGAAAGAGAAAGAGTGTTCCTGCCGCCCACGGTGTCGGCCCCAGCTTTCATTTTTAACCCAGCGCGGGTGCTCCAGCCGCCCACGGTGCGGGTTCCAGCTCAGCGAGGGCGTTCCAGCCGCCCACAGCGTGGGTCCCAGCCCTCTAATATTCTAATTTGAACCCAGCGCGAGTGCTCCAGCCGCCCACGGTGTGGGTTCCAGCTCAGCGAGGGCGTTCCAGCCGCCCACAGCGTGGGTCCCAGCCTTCTAATTTGAACCTTGCGCGAGTGCTCCAGCCGCCCACGGTGCGGGCTCCAGCTCAGCGAGGGCGTTCCAACCGCCCACAGCGTGGGTCCCAGCCTTCTAATTTGAACCCAGCGCGAGTGCTCCAGCCGCCCACGGTGCGGGTTCCAGCTCAGCGAGGGCGTTCCAGCCGCCCACAGCGTGGGTCCCAGCCTTCTAATTTGAACCTAGCGCGAGTGCTCCAGCCGCCCACGGTGTGGGTTCCAGCTCTGCGAGTGCGCTCCAGCCGCCCACGGCGTGGGCTCCAGCCATGCACTTGTACCCAGCCCAGCCAACGGCGTGGGCTCCATCCAGCCATGCACTTCTACCGCGCGGAAGCGTTCCAGCCGCCCACGGCGCGGGCTCCAGCCACGAATTTCTACCGAGCGCGAGCGCTCCAGCCGCGCACGACGGGGGCTCCAGCCACGCATTTCTGCCCAGCACGAGCGTTTCCAGCCGCACATGTCGTGGGCTGCAGCCATGTAGTTTCACCGAACGCGAGCGTTCCAGCCGCCCACGGCACATACTCACTAGCAAATTAACCAGTTCACCGACTGTAGGGCACTCCCAGGACCGGTGTTTTCGGTCCTCCCGCAGAAGGAGTGTGGGCACCGCGCAGGCTTTCCCCACTTGGCCGCCATCGTCCCCGAGACCTCGACGCAGGCCAGCGAAGCCCGGAGCGCGCCCGCGGCATCCGGGGCGAGCTGGCCGGTATCCAGGAAGCGCCGCGTGGCCCATCGGTCGAAGACGTCGCAGACGTGCGCGAAGTCGGCGCGCCCGGCGGCGACCGCGCGGGCTGCGTTGCGCGCCCAGGCATCCAGCAGCATTGCGCGCGTGGCCTTTCCAGCCTGTCGGCGCCGACGGCACGCCGCTCCAAGACTCCACGTCGGGCCCGAGCTGCAGCGCTGCCATGCTGCGCGCCGCGGCCGCGAGAGGGCCCTGGCCGCGAGCGTGCCTGGCGGCGGTGGCACCCGGCGCGGCCCTCCAGAGCTCGGAGGGGAGACGCCCGCGCCGAAGCGCCTTCGCCAGCTGCCACAGGGGGACCAACCACGCCGCACACTGCTTCGGCGGCGGCGCGGAAGCCGCCGAGGCAGACCGCGTGCCGGGCGGCGGCACGACAACCAGCAATCTCGCGCGCCGGGGGCCGCCTGCACGCGGCACCGCACATGCCGGCGGCCGCGCCGGCTGCTGCGCCGAGCAAGCACCGACGCCAGCAGTCCACGGGCAGGCGGCCGACGCGGGCAAACCTGCCGCACGCCGCCTTCGCGCGAGCGCGGCCGCGACGGCGCAGCGGCGCGCGCGCTCGGCAGTGGCGGTGACCCCGCGGACGCGAGGTCCTGGAAGCCCGTGCCAGCAGCCACCGACGGCGTCTGCTCGGCCAGCCAGCGCCGCACCGCGGCCGAGGGCAAACGACCGTCCCGCACAAGCGCCCAGGAGCGCCCAGAAGTCTTAGACTTAGACATCGGAGCGCAGTCCAGGCGCTGAGAAAAGGACCGCGTTGGGCTCGGGAGAGGCCCGGGTGTTCGGCCCGATCCTTAGATTCATGTGTCGCCGCGCCGTGGACTCCGACGCGTGGCTGCAGTCTTTGAGAGGGCGCCGCTGGCACCAGGGCAAACGCCGCCTCGGGCGCGGTGGGCTTGCCGTGGGGTTGCCCGCGGTGCCAGCGTCTACCTGGGGCGCGGGACGCAGGGTTTGCCGTGGGTTTGCCATGGTGTCGGCGTCGTCCACCTCGGGTGTGTCGAGAACCAACGGCACGGCGACACGTCGTGGACTTGGCTTGTGGCCCAGGCCCGCTGTGGCCTGAAAAGCCCTTCCGTTCCTTATTAATCGCTTCGCTCACTCCGCCGGCCCGTACTGTGCCATTGCAGGCGTTTGCATGCGCGTTCGTGGCCTCGTGGACGCCGTTTGTGGGCCTCTTGGGCCTCTTGGCGGTATTTCTGGAACCTCCTGGGGCGTCACGGGGGGCCTCTTGGGGGCCTCTTGGGGCGTCTCGGAGGCCTCTCGGGGGCTTCTTGGGGGCCTTTGGGGGCCTCCTGGGAACCTCTCTGCGCCTAGAGCTCGAAATGTCCGTTCGGGTCCCTCGTCTGAGCTCACTATTGGAGCCGTCTTGGGAGCCTCTGCGGCCATCTTGGAGGCCTCTGGGGCTGTCTTGGACCATCTGGGGCCGTTTTAGGTACTCTTTGAGGCCTCTTGGGCCGTGTTGGGGCAATCCTGGAAGCCTCTTGGGCCGTCTTGGAGCGGCGGTAAGCCGGAAAGGCGAGAACGGCAAAACCCTTCAAACATTGAAGGAAAATCCTTAATTTCTGCCTCTGTGGGCCCTCTTGGGAGGTCTCTGGGAGGCCACTTCGGGCGTCTTGAAGGCGCTTTGAGCTGTCTGGAGGCCATCTTTGGCATCTTGGATCGCTCTTGGACCGTCTCGGACCAGGTTGGGCTCTCTTGGAGGCCACTTGAAGCGCTCCTGGAGCGCTCTTGGGAGCCTGGCTGGGACCTGCCCCGGACCTGCCCAGGACCTTGCCGGGACCTTGCTGGAACTTGCCGGGAACTTTGCCGGGACTTGCCGGGGCTTTGCCGGGGTATTTTTCGTGGGGCGGCCCCGCGCGCGCGAGCTGAAAATATTGTTTACCAGTGACCAGAGATCTTAGCACGCCCTTGGCCCGTTGGGCCAGCGAATTGTGCGTTCCTTCTAGTAGCACGATGGTTGTATGCGATTTTGAGTGCATCCCGTCCAAATTGAGCATTCTGAAGGGCCCGAGGCATGGCATTCGGTGCCTCACGGCACGGTGTCGCACATGTGCATACATTTTGCGTATACACACACACACAGGAAGAAGCACTGAAGGAGAGATGGAGGGGGACAGCGAGAGCGATTGAGTATCTTCCAGTGCAAGTGTGACGGTTCCCATTCAGGCCACCCTGAAGTGATGCATGTGGCGTGCCGAGTCAAGGAGTGAGAGACTGTTTTTGGTCGGACGTCTTGAGGATGTGTCAGTGCGGCCTCAGATACAGCATCGAACGCAGTTTTTGACACATGAGCGATGCAGACAAACGGGGCCGTTTGCGCGGACATTTGCGCGCAGGCTTCCCGCATAAGGTCGCGCGTAAGCGCCCTCTTCTCCACGCGGCATGCCGCGCTGGCAGCCCGCGTGTAAGCCGCGGCGTAAGGTCGCTATGTCATCGTGCGTAAGGCCCCTTTTCCCTTCGTCGCTCGCATGTCCCCACTGCAGATGCCGGAAGCCATTTTGGCTCGAGAGTCCCAGCATTCCCAAGGCAGCCCCCTCTTGAATGGCCGCGGCCGAGCCCGCGCCCAAGAAGAGGCGCGGTGCCCGCCTTCAAGCCAGGGCGAGGGGGGAGGCAGCACGGCGCGAGGG